GTGCAGTTTTGCAGGGCATGCAAAGCAGTCAGGTTCTAAATGGCTGCTGATATGGTTATTTGGGTTACACTGAAAACAGTTGAATGTGTAAAAAATTGAGTTTCTCATCAGTAGGCTTTTGAGCTAACAAGTCTCAGTTTCTGTAAAGAAGTCAACAACCTAGGAGCCAATATACAGAGGCCCTCTTTGGCTTGTTTAGGTAACACTGGCTCACTGGCCTGCCCCCTGGTAGAGCTCAGGCTCTGTGTCCCACCTGCTCCCTGGCCATCCTCATTCACTCCAGTCTCCTCTCCTTAAAAACAATTACTAGGCTGGACATGGTGGCCTATGCCTATAATCCCAGCACTTTGGGAGGCTGAGGAGGAAGGATCACTTGAACTCCGGAGTTGGAGAGCAGCCTGGGCAGCAGTGAGGCCCCATCTCTCCAAAAATTAAAAAATTAGCTGGGAGTGGTAGCACATGCCTATAGTCCCGGCTACTCGGGAGTTTGAGGTGGGAGGATTGCTTGAGCCCGGGAGGTAGAGGCTACACTGAACCTTGATAGCATAATTGCAGTCCAGCCTGGGGACAGAGAGAGACTGTCTCAAAAAACAGCTTAAAAATCATATGACAGATAATATACTATGTACTTTAAGTATATCATCTTATTTAATCCTTTCAATCCTATGAAGCAGATGCTCCTATTATACCTATTTTAGGCATAAGGAAACGGAATCTTAGAGAAGTTCAGTGATTTGCACAAGGCCTGTTCTTGGAAAGCACAGTGACTCAAGCTGCTTAATTTTGTGGGATCACAGGACACAGAAGATGTCTGATAATTGTACTCTATGTAAACTAGTGTTCTCCCAGGAGATTTCCTACATAATCCTGGAGGTACAAAGGCATCACATTCAGTTATCAGTATTGTTTTCTTATTGTTGCCATCACATGTTATATAAGACTCCAGTCCCCTGCAGTATTTATGAAAGTTTTGGAGAAGTTCACGATGGGAGCTTTCTTTACAAGACTGATCAGCTGTGGTGGAATGGTGATCCCAGCAAGGTGCTCTGCTTTTGCTGGGAACCATCACTCCTGCCAGGCTTGTCTTATTTTGGGGTATCAGGAGCAATTCTACTTGCTACTCCAGGTCCTGTTGGGCATGTCCCCACTTCATCCATCCCTTGCCTTGCATTGAAGTTGTCACATGTATCTTGGAGCCCTAGAGGTGCTCAAGGTATGGGGAGGCCTAGGAAGACTTGGATGGTAAATCCAGTGTCAGACCAGGAGGGACGCCTGATGGCCTTTCTCCAGGGCTTTGTTCTTGACCGAGCATGGCATGCTGGACTTCCTCTGAGCCCATCCCTGTAGGCATACAGAATCACCTGCAAATGAGTTTCTTGCAGGAGTTTGCAAGAGGAGAAAGATTTTGGTACAAAAAACATTGCACTATTCAGGCTGACCACCTTCCTGCTGTGACAATGGCAAAAGGCAACACATTAAGATTCGGCACCAAGAAAGAGTATGCTGACGTATGCCTATTAAGTTAGCCTGATCCACCTGGCCATCGAGGCTTATCTACCAGTAAATAATCTATGGAAATGGCAAGATTGTCTGACCGTCTTCACTTGGTCTGAACCTGCTCTGCCTTCAACCTGCTCCACTCTGTATTTTGTCCTGGGCCCCCTCCACTTGCTCTCTCTCTCTCTTTCTCTCTCTCTCTCTCTCTCTTTTGTTTTTTGTTTTGAGACAGAGTCTCACTCTGTTGCCCAGGCTAGAGTGCAGTGGCGTGATCTCGGTTCACTGCAACCTCTGCCTCCTAGGTTCAAGTGATTCTTCTGCCTTAACCTCCTGAGTAGCTGGAATTACAGGTGCCCACCACCCACCCAGCTAATTTTTGTATTTTTAGTAGAGACAGCGTTTCATCATGTTGACCAGGCTGGTCTCAAACTCCTGACCTCAGGTGATCTACCTGCCTTGGCCCCACAAAGTGCTGGGATTACAGGTGGGAGCCACTGCGCCCGGCCCCCTCCACTTGCTCTTGATTTCCACTGTCTCTGAAGGAAGTGGGTCTAGGCCTGTTCTCCTCATTGACCCTATGGGCCAAAGTGGTCCTCTCAATGTAAAGAGGGCATTTGGACGAACACCCAGGGTAAATCTGCTGTGTATTAGTTTGCCAGGGCTGCTGTAAGAAAGCACCACAGGGTGGGGGGCTGAAACAACAGAAGTTTATTTTCTCCCAGTTCTGGATGTTGGAGTTCCAAGATCAAGGTGTCAGCAGGGCTGTTTCTTCTGAGACCTCTTTCCTTGGTGTGTAGATGGCCATAGACTGCATAGCATCCCCCTAAATTCATATGTTGAAGCGCTAGTCCCCAGTGTGATGATATTGGGAGATGAGGTCTTTGGGAGGTGATCAGGTTTAGATGAGGTTGTGAGAGTGGAGCCCCCCATGATGAGCTTAACTTCCTTATAGGAAGAGACACCAGAGAGCTCTCTCTTCCTGCCATGTGGCTCGTCCACCTGCCTGTACCTGGGGCCATGTGAAGGCATAACAGGAAGGCAGCCTTCTGCAAACCAAGGAGAGAACCCTCACCAGATATAGACCCTGCTGGACTTCCAGTTTCCAGAACTGTGAGAAATAAATCCCTGTTGGTTAAGTCCCTAGTCTATGACATTTTGTTGGAGCACTCCAAGCTGTCTTCTCCCTATATTTCCACATGGTCTTCCATCGGTGCATGCATATTCCTGTCCTAATCTCTTCTTATAAGGACATGGGTCATATTGGATTAAGGCCCACCCCAATGTCCTCATTTAACCTTCATTACCCCTTTAAAGATCTTATCTTCCAATACAGCCTCATTCTGAGGTCTGGGGGTTTAGGACTGCAGCACATGAATTTTGAGAGGACACAGTTCAGCCCATAACCCTGCCATAAGCTTTGGCCAGGTCCACTGGGAGGTCTCCAGTGCCAGGCCCCTGGTCATGGATGAGGGCCCATGGCTCCTTTCTCTTAACACAGAAATTGAAGTGGCCCTGTTTAAACCTGAGTCAGATCACGTTACTCCTCTGTCCAGTGTTTTCCCATCTCATTTAGGGTAAAAGCCAGAGTCTCGCAGTGGTCTTTGGGGCTTTACGTGGTTCTCCTCCTCCTCTGCCTTAACCTTACTTCCTTCTTTTCTCCACCTGATCACTTTGCCCTGGCCATGTAGGCCTCCTCACTGTGACTGGAGCACACCAGGCCTGAGGCTGCCCCACGGCCTTTGCACTTCTGGTTTCCTTTGCCCTGAATACTTTCCCTCATTCATCTGCACATGGCTCTTTTCTCTTTCTCCCCTCAGGTCTTTCCTCAAAAAACTTGAAGACTTTGTTTTCTATCACATTTAACTTACTCTCCTCTCCTCTAAAATTTCATTTCTTTCCTGCTTTACTTTTTTCTCCTCCCTTTTACTGCCATCAAACATACTAAACATTTATTTTACTTATGTATCAAGTTTCTTGTCTGTCTCCCCGCTCAGAATGCCAATTCCACGGGGCAGAGACTTAGATTTATCCACAGTGGTATCTCCAGCACCTGGAATAGTGCCTGGTGCCTGGTGTGTAGTCAACACTCAGTAGATATTGGTTACATGAATGAATAAATTCACACAGAGTGTGAGGGACATTACAACATGGCTAGCATTCTTCCTCGTGCCATCATAATTCTTGGGATTGTGGGGGATTTTGACTGCGGAGAGGCGCCAGTCATCATCTCAGTTGTTAAAAGAGAAACTTCAGCAGAATTAAATTTGAAGACGTTTAATTGAGCAATGAATGATTTGTGAATCAGACAGCCCTCAGAATCACAGCAGATTCGGAGAGACTTCAGGGATGCCTCGTGATCAAACAAATTTGTAGACAAGCAAAGCGAAGTGAAGTGACGTACAGAAACCGGAAGTGAGGTACAGAAACAGCTGGATTGGTGACAGCTTGGCGTTTGCCTCATTTGAAGACAGTTTGAACACTCGGCAATGTGTGAGTGGTTGAAGCATGGCCGCTGGGATTGGCCAGCACTCAGCCATTGTTGCAGACACGTACTCCTAAGTCAGGTTTTCAATCTCATCTGTCTATTAAGTTAGGTTAAGTTTGTCTAAAAAGACTCAAATACTGAAGTACTGAGTCCTTCTCAGGCCATTTTTAGTTTGCTTTAACACAGTTGTCTCATTCAATTCCTCTATTTTCCAGAAAACGATCTGGTGTCTAGGAAGAGGAAGTGACTTGTCCAAGTTCACAGGGGACTTCCCCCTGCACCCTCCACCTCCTTCTGTGGAGCTTTTCCATCCCACTGTCAAACTCTGGAAGGGTCTTTCTTCTAAGTCTTCTCATTTTCAGAAAAGAATTTTTTTATCTCGACCTCTAACACAAAACTTTCTTATCCCCACTGGAGACAATAAATGGAAATATATTTTGAAAAGTGAAGAGCATTATACCAACGGAGTAACCATTTTTAGTACTATTTGAAAGGTTAACTCCTAGCTAATCACAAATAGTTTCCAATATTAGGTTTTCTTACAATGCAGCCAAATGATGACTTTCCCCGTCTTCCTCTAAACAGCCTCTCCACTGAACAATGTCAAAGAACGCCAGCCGCCACGGTAAAACCCACACCCCGGGTCCCCTCCCCTTCTGTCTGGCAAGAGGCAGGGGGAAATCACATATGTCAAGCAGACTGTAGACAGTTGAGCTGCTTTCCCTCAACTTTTGGGAGGGCTTCTTTGGGATGACAGCGGGACAAAGGGTTGTTGTGTAAATTACCATGCAAATTGCCACAGTGTTTGAACTGAAGACACCTTTGCCTGCCCTAGCGCAATGAATTCGAGCTTCTGCGACTCCCACGGTAGAGAAGATGTGAGTGCCTACCAGAGCTGAGCCGCTAACCCCCTAAACAGCCCCATATGCTTCACTCCAGTGAGCTCCTAGAAATACGCTTGAGGGTTGCTAAAATATGACAACCCAAATAGAGCATGCCTAAAATGATGTTTCCCTACCTTTTAGCAGGTGTCCTCTTTCAAAGCTAGTCCTGGTAGGATGGTGGGGAACAGTTCCATGGTGTGATGCTATGAGTGTCTGGAGGCACAAGCAAAGTCCACCATATTTAGTAGGGGACATAACTGCTGTGCGTTTTTTTCTCTTTCCTCATTGTCTCCCTCCCTTTTATCTCATTCACTGGGTCAGCGCTCATGTGGGAGGTCACCTTCATCTCTGAGACTGGCATGCTTGGTATGTTAGTCCTGTCCCTGAGCCTGTGACCAAGAGGTGTGATTTCAGGGTATCTTCTTATGGGCAGACATCTCTGACTTTTGTTTGCTGGCTCGTTGCCTCCATTCCTTCCCATGGCGACATCTGCGATGGTGAAGCCTGCTGTCCGCATGCTGAGGTGGTGGCTGTGGTTTCTGATGAGGGTTGACAGCCACCGATTGTCGGCTTGCTCAGAGCACTCAGTTCATCTTTTATTTGTAGGAAGTGACTCTATGAGGGCACACCCCTATTTTCAGGACAAACAGGGGACCATAGAAAGTGCCCTGAGGCATGTCTATTGTTGTAGGGAGGTTCCTAAAGAGTGATTTGAGGTAGGTAGGTTTGGTCCTGCTCTTCACAACTAACTCAATGAACTCAATGGCCTTTGTGGCATAACAGCAATTCACATTCGGAGGCTTTGTGTGTGTGTGTGTGTGTGTGTGTGTGTTAAAAAAAGCACAACACTGACGGTTAATATTTATTGACCTTTATATGCTGGACACTGAGCTAAACACTCTGCATGTTTTATCTTGTTTAAACTGGACTACAAAGCTTCAAGGTAGGTGTATTAGTCAGGGTTCTCCAGAGAAGCAGAAGCAATAGGACTGTGTGTATGCGTGTGTGTGGGTGTGTGTGTGTGAGTGTCTGTTTGTGTATTTTAATTTTTTAAAAAGAGTAATTGGCTCATGTAATTGTTGGGGCTAGCAAGTTTGAAATCAGCAGGATGGAGCCAGTAGCCTGGAGATCCAGGGAAGAGTTGAAGTTGCTGCTTGCGTCCGAAGGCAACCTGGAGGCAAAATCCCTTTTTTCTCGGGCACAAGGCTAGGGAGGGACAGAAGCAGGGAGAATAAAGCAGCTATAATATGTCCACTACCTAAATATGGTGAACGTTGCTTGTACCTCCATATATGCTCATAGCATCATGCCATGGAACTGTTCCTCATTGTCTTACTGGGGCTGAGACACATCAGTCTTTTTTCTCAAAAGGACTTCGACTGATGGAGTGATGCCCATTATATTATGGAGGATAATCTGCTTTACTCAAAGTCTGCTGATTTAAATGCCAATTTCATCTAAAAAATACCTTCATGGCCACATTTATACTGGTATTTGACCACATATCTGGGTATTGTGCATAGCCAAGTTGACATGTAACAGGAACCACTAGAGTAGGTATCATTTTCTTTGTATAGGTGAGGAAGACAAGCCTTAGAGATACAAATTCACTTGCAATGGTAGTTTGGATAATGGTTCCAAATATGTCCATGTTGTATTCCCCAGAACATGTAAATATTACCTTCTATGGCAAAAAGGATTCTGTAGATGTGGCTAAAGCAAGGATCTTGAGATAGGGGATGATCCCAGATTATACTGGTGAGCCCGATGTAGTCAAGTGGCCCTTCCAGGAAGGATGAAGGAGGGTCAGAGTCAGTGGAGCTGGTGCGATGGTGGAGGTGGAGACTGGAGCCATGCACTTTGAAGATGGAAGAGGGGGACACAGGCCAAGGAACACAGGTGGCCACTAGAAGCTGGAAAAGGGAGGAAATTGATTCTCCATAAGAGTGTTCAGAGGGAGCCAGCCCTGCCAACACCTTGCTTTTAGCCAGTGAAACTGATTTTGGACTTATTGCCTCCAGAAAGAGGTAATAAGTAAGAGAAGACATTTGAGTTGTATCAAGCCACCGAGTTTGCTGCAATTTGTTACAGCAGCCATAGTAAGCTAATACACTTGCCTAAGGTCATGTAGTTGGTAAATGGTAGAGGTGGGATTTGAAAGCAAGTATGGCTGACTCCATGGCCTGAAACATGGAATGCTATTATCATCACCAGTGCTGTTGACCTCTCTCAAACAATAGTTCCTGAGCTCATCTCTCCTCTCTCCTCCCATAGTCCCTGTCTAGACTTTAGCCAAATGACTACAAATTATGTATATTAACCTTATATAAAGAGGGTCAATTAGTGGTATAGGAGAGAGGGACTGGGAATAGGAGGCCAAACGGTAATGAGGACATGGTCCTCTACTTACTGGGGTCCCACTATGTAGCAGACACTGTATAAACACTCTGTGTCATTCTCCCAGCATCCCTGGAGGTCAGGTGCTACTGTCATCTCTACATAGTTGAGGAAACTGAGACCAAGAGAGGTTAAGTAACTTGCCCAAGGTCACACAGCCGTGTGGAAGAGCTGAGGCTTAAAACTAGATTAGCCTGAGCCAACACTTTCTGATCCTTTCCTCCTGGAGAGTCCTTATCACAGTGCAGCAGGAGGAGCAGCAGCAGGAGAGGAAAATGTTGGCAAAAAACTAGAGCGAGCTGAAGACCCAGCCTCCCTGGGTTCTCGCTCCCCTTGCAGAAAGCTCCATCTCAGGCGCACAGGTTTCAGTCCAGGGCCGGGGGTCCCTGCAGTGTCTTCTGTACCCTTAAGTGGCCCTGTTAACTCTGGTCATGGAGCAACCTCCTGCTTAGGTTTCCCTCCTCTCTGCCTTCTCTTCTTTCATTTCCCCTCTGGTTTCTTGGCTGCCCTTAGCATCTGCTGAGGTAGTGTTGGCTCCCTCCCTCCCTTCTCCTCCCCATGCTTCTTTTTCCTTTTCCATTATACTTGCTGCCCTTTCCCTTTTATTCTTCAATTTTGATTGCCTACGGGGGAGGATGGGGAGCTGAGGGCGAGTGCTGCTTTCTGCAGAGATCTGGCCTGACTTCCTTTGCCCGTCGAGAGTTAATGTGCAAGCTTCTGGAGGCGGGCAGGCCTCGGTCCATCACCCCGGCGAGCTGGACAGCCTTTGCACTGCAGATGATCCCTGGCAGCCAGCGGGGACTGGAGCTGTGCTACTGCGTCTTAGCTGAGCTTATGACTTCACGGAATAGGTTATCAACGACACTGGGCTAAAAATACCATATTTATTTTTGAAATAACTTGTTTTGGCAGTTATAAATACTCTATGAAGTCAGCTTAGAATGTAGTCTAGCAGCTCTCAGACAACTGAATAATATTTCAGATGTGCACATTATTTTCTCTGCAGAATCCAGCATGCAATTTCCAGCCGATTCTTTGCTATCCTGAGTAATGGAGGGCAGATTGGGTGCAGATCAAACCAGTGAATCATCAGCTTAGTTCAGGGTTACAGCCTAGGCTCCCAAACTGAGAATCTTACTTTGGAGTAGATGTTACTAGAAGAAGCGTTCAAGAAAGTTTTCTTTGCTTGCCAGGGACCCCTTTGCTCTTGGGTAGCAGAGAGCTGAAGTGAGTTGTCATAACTCCTTCCCTTCTTCTCTTTCTCTTTCTGTCTTCCCTACCTCTCCCTCCTCTCTCCCGAGTTAAGGGCTATTTTAAAAAGCCATAATACCATTGCCACACTTAAAAAATTAATAATTCCTTAATATCAGGCTTCATCTAGTTTAAAAACTATTTGTTTGAATCAGGATCCTATTAAGATCCACACAGTGCCATTGATTGATACATCTCTTAAGTCTCCTTTAACCCACAGGTCCCCCTTCCATTTCTCTCTCCCTCTCTCTTTGCAATTAATTTGTTGAAAAGGTCTATGTTTTTACTTGCTGCATAGTATTCCCCAGTGGGGATCTATCATTTCTCCCCCATTCTCATATTCATGGGCATTTTAGGTTGTTCTTTTTTCCTTTCTTTTTTGAGACGATCTCACTTTGTTACCCGCGCTGGAGTTCAGTGGCACGATCACAGCTCACTGCAGCCTCCATCGCCTGGGCTCTAGTGATCCTCCCACCTTAGCCCCTCAGGTAGCTGGAACTACAGGCATGGGCCACCATGCCTGGCTAATTTTTGTTTTTGTTTTTTGTTTTGGAGAGACAAAGGTCTCACTGTGTTGCCCAGGCTGGTCTTGAACTCCTGGGCTCAAGCAATCCTTCCATTTTCGTCTCCCAAAGCGTTGGGGTTACAGGTGTGAGCCACTGCACCTGGCCTGGTTATTTTCAAACTCTTCCTGGCACCCATATGCTACCGTGTGAGATATTTGTGCACATGTGCCAACATTTCTCTATGGTAGCTACGAAGAAGTAAATATGCAAAATTGAAGGGCAAGCACACTGTTTTCTGTTGAACCATATGACATTTTTGTAGGCCAAAGATGATTGATTATTGGCAATTTCAAATGGTTCAGCCTAATATATTTTCATTAAAATTGCAAAATTGCCTATAAATATATTGTAGGAATTTGCTCTCCTCCCACCAATTTATAAGGGTTCCCATTTCCCCATACCATTGCCATTGCTCAAATGATCATTGTTTTGCACGTTCTGTGAATCTAATGGGTGAAGAACAGTTTTCACTGCGCTTGCCAATGACTCTCAGAGCTGTGTGGTATGTGCAGTTAGAGGGTCCTTCTTCCGGTGGGAGTCGGATCTCTTCAGCATGACCCATGCAAGATGGGCAGTACTGCTGCTGGGCTGTGCCCAGATAAAGCAAGTGACCATCAGGTGGGCTAACTGCAGGCAGAGGCGATTGGCTACATTTTCTGGTAAATGCTGCTTCTTCTCCTTCTCTTCTTCTTCTTTTTAACAGAGATGCAATCTTGCTATGTTAGTCAAGGTGGTCTCGAACTCCTGACCTCATGCAGTCTTCCTACTTCTGGCTCTCAAAGTGCTGGGATTACAGGTGTGAGCCACCATATGCCTGGCTAGGTGAATTCTTTTCACTCCCGAGATTGAGCCGTGACCCCTAAGATAAGCTTATACCTGGTTGAAATAGGAAGCCATTCAGCTGAAGCCTGTTGGCTTCATAGTTTGTGGCTACATAGGTAGCCTTCACCTCTGCTAAGGCACCTGCATCAGCTATTGAGGAGCGACAATGGGTTGAAAGGGAGTAAATACCCAAGGGCTCCAATATTCCTGGAAGGATACCTGGGCATTGCAAAGGCTGGGTCCCTGCTGTACCATCAGCTTTGCCCATTCAGGGTCTAAGAGGTTTCTTGCACTTGCTTCCCTAGTTAAGAGAACTAGTATGGAG